TTATACATACTTGAACCAGGATTCGAACGCGAGACTTTAGGGTTAGCAGTCTAGTGCTCTACCGTTAAGCGAATTGTAAATTTCCCTGTAATAAACATTGTCAAATAATTCCTTAACTTGACCTTCGATTAAAATATAGCCATTGCACCCAACTTGGATCTATTTATCTGTTTTCAAAGCTTTAGTGCTGGGACGAAGACGATTCCTACGGTGTCATTTATCATGAAAAGAAACTTTTCGTGACTACTTAACAGTTTTAGAAAAAAAGACATCACTCACCCCCAAAACAAATAAACCTGTTTTTAGATTACCCTCCGAAAAGGCAGGAAGAGTTATGGTAAGCTGCCCCTGAAACAGGTGGCATCCCCTGGCAGTGGTGTCAAAATGTTTGCTCGAACTTGTAGGTTCTAGTGGTGTTTGGCTCTACTGGGGACAAAACTCTGGACGATTGGTGGGATTGTATAGGGTGGGTATTGGGGGGTATTGGTGGGATTGTTTTAGTCAGTGGGAATTGGTGGGATTGTTTTATGGAATTGGTGGGATTGTTTTAGTCGGTGGGAATTGGTGGGATTGTTTTATGGAATTGGTGGGATTGTTTTAGTCGGTGGGAATTGGTGGGATTGTTTTAGTCGGTGGGAATTGGTGGGATTGTTTTATGGAATTGGTGGGATTGTTTTAGTCGGTGGGAATTGGTGGGATTGTTTTAGTCGGTGGGAATTGGTGGGATTGTTTTATGGAATTGGTGGGATTGTTTTAGTCGGTGGGAATTGGTGGGATTGTTTTAGTCGGTGGGAATTGGTGGGATTGTTTTAGTCGGTGGGAATTGGTGGGATTGTTTTAGTCGGTGGGAATTGGTGGGATTGTTTTAGTCGGTGGGAATTGGAGGGATTGTTTTAGTCGGTGGGAATTGGTGGGATTGTTTTAGTCGGTGGGAATTGGTGGGATTGTGTGGTCATCTAAGGTGGGAATGGACAAGGCAGTGGTGTTCTAGTGGGTATATGTGGGATTATGGTGTTCTATTTAGTGGGTAAGTGTAGAGGCGTAGCGACCCTTCCCGGCGCCCGGGGACAAACTTTTCGATTTGCACCCCTCCCCTCAAGATTTCGATTTGCACCCCCCCTAAAACTTTCGATTTGCACCCCCCTCAACCTTTCAATTTATTTTTCCAACCCATTTTGGCGCCCCCTAAGGTCGGCGCCCGGGGACATATGTCCCCCCCCCGCCCCCTCTCGCTACTCTACTGGGTATGTGTGGGGCTATATTGTTCTATTTAGTGGGTATGTGTGGGTCTATATTGTTCTATTCAGTGGGTATGTGTGGCTTTTTATTGTTCTATTCAGTGGGTATGTGTGGGTCTATATTGTTCTATTTAGTGGGTATGTGTGTCTTTTTATTGTTCTATTCAGTGGGTATGTGTGGGTCTATATTGTTCTATTTAGTGGGTATGTGTTTGTCTGTACTTTTCTGTTCAGTGGATATTTGTGGGTCTATGTACTCTTACTAGGTGTGAATTTTATTCAGTGGGAATTTTTAGCGATAACGAGGGAATCATTTAGTGGAAATTCTTCTTCTTCCTATTCTTCTTCTTCTTCGTTCCTAATTATTAGTGTTGAAGGGGATCGAGATTTATCTGCCAGTGGGTTTGAACTCGAGGCTTTGTTCGAATGTATCAACCATGAGCTTTTTGCCGACTCGACCACGCCTCCAACACAATTAAGCGTTACGTGTCAACTGGTTATGCGCCATTGAGGCCATTGACTCAATAGTGGAAATTAAAGTGACCAAGATTTTTTGTATTTCGTTTTGTCTATTTTATCAGTAAGGTGGACATTTTTACAACATTATTCTTTGATATCGATCACATATAAAACGATATTCTTTAAACGATTACTGGAAGAAGGACTTCGTACGAGTGATTGCTACAACTCTCCCCCCCCCCCCCTCCAATGATTATCAGCGTTTATTTGCTAGCATCGTTTACTAGTAAGTTATAACTACTGTATAATCGATTTCTTGCATATATATATATATATATATATATATATATATATATATATATATATATATATATATATATATATATATATATATATCCAACGATACCAGTGGCATATATTGATTTGATAGACCACACAAATAGTCCGCGTGAACAAAAAAGTCGAATTCGGAATTCAATCGCCACTAATTGTAATTAAGTATTACCTGCAACATATGCGTTACGATCTATTATTCAAAATGTCATTTATTTTTTCTGCCATTTTTTTGTACCTATTTAAACCAAAACTGTCGGGTTTTTTTTTTCGTAACAAAAGAAAATCTCTAAAAATAAAAATCCTAATATGTTTATGACGTAGTCCTAATTTGAGACTAAACCCACGACCCCTTGCTGACCCGCGGGTCACATTCCACTGGGGCTGGAGGGTGTCAGTGAGAGTGACGTCCCCTTGTCGCGACATTGTTGTTGTTGTATGACAGTGTTGACATTCAACACAATTGGCTGTCTTTGACATCAGAGCAACAATAGCATTCAGTCGACATAGGGGTGTGGGGCTGTGGGGGGGGGGGGGGGGGGGGGATGGGGGAAAAGGGAAGGGGAACAGGCGGTATTTCAACAAAGGCTACGCTTACATAGTTGCCATAAATATAGCGCAACGGAAAATACGTGACTACAAACGAAATAGTTACATTTAGTCATATTGTTAGAACAGATGTTGAATCATGCTGCATTTTATATATGGTCATTCCTTGCTAGTCTTTGAATTACCGAGTTAAAAAAATCGTTTCCACAATTTTTTGTATCGTTATTGTTGGTCATTTTTTGCAATATAGCCCTGTTTGTTTGTTGTAAATTCCATATGCCTTGAGATATCGTAACATTTAAATAATTCTAAAAAGTGTTATGTAAATAATACAGCTATTTTAAAAACAAGATTTAAAAAATCGGCACAACAGAATGTCTATTTACGTTTGATTACGATTTAGTTTTCAAAAGATAAATGTGTATGTTGAAAGCACTTGTAAAATGATACGCCTCTCATTTTTACATATAGCACTCATTTTTACATATAGCATTCATTTTTACATATAGCACTCATTGATTTATTGTTTCTGCTTTTAATTTTCCCATCTGAATAATTTATTTCTGGAGCTTAAGGGGTTAACTTCCCGTGAAACTTCAGTAATTTAATTAGACGAGATATTTACAGATAAGGTCGACACAGTCGTAGAAAAATGGTTTTATTTCATCTGATGTTAACAAATATGGCGGAATCATACATCATACAGCAACACAACACCGGATATATGAAATAGTCAACATGGCTAGACTATACACAAAACCAACAACATAACAGTGGACATATGAAATGGTCAACATATTGTATGGCTACGCTATACACAAAACCAACAACATAACAGTGGACATATGAAATGGTCAACATATTGTATGGCTACGCTATACACAAAACCAACAACATAACAGTGGACATATGAAATGGTCAACATATTGTATGGCTACGCTATACACAAAACCAACAACATAACAGTGGACATATGAAATGGTCAACATATTGTATGGCTACGCTATACACAAAACCAACAGCATAACAGTGGACATATGAAATGGTCAACATATTGTATTGCTACGCTATACACAAAACCAACAACATAACAGTGGACATATGAAATGGTCAACAAATTGTATGGCTACGCTATACACAAAACCAACAACATAACAGTAGACATATGCAATGGAAAATATATTGTATGGCTACGCTATACACAAAACCAACAACATAACAGTGGACATATGAAATGGTCAACAAATTGCATGGCTAGGCTTTACGCAAAACCAACAACATAACAGTGGACATATGATATAGTCAACACATTGTATGGCTATGCTATACACAAAACCAACATACCACCGCACATATTAAAGTATCAACATATTGCATAGTCGAGCCTGGTTTGAAAAAGCCGTTGCGTGATAGGTCGTCCATAAAGTGTGACAAATTATTGACATGTTAAGACTTTACTTTCAACAATACTATCTCTATAGTTGGTATACGAGAAAGTAAAAGCAAAACCAACAAATATTAACAGGTCTAGGAGGTTTATAAACAAACAAGTGTCGTAAACAAATGACCAGACACTCATACAGCGCGTAAAGTCAGGATAAAGTCAGGGTAAAGTGAGGGTAAATTCTTGGTAAAGTCATGGTAAAGTCAGGGTAAAGTCATGGTAAAGTCATGGTAAAGTCAGGGTAAAGTCAGGGTAAAGTCAGGGTAAAGTCAGGGTAAAGTTAGGGTAAAGTTAGGGTAAAGTCAGGGTAAAGTCAGGGTAAAGTCAGGGTAAAGTCAGGGTAACTTAACGATTCAGAAAGCGGAGACCAGTTGTCAAATCATTTGTGCAGATTCACATAGTAATATTTAAAAATCCTGTATTGGTCAGGATTTAACTTTTTAATTAATTAATTTTAATCCCACCCGCCTAACCAAGTTTTTTTTTAACCGAGTGAGTAAAATATTGGTTTAAACAAAGTATTTCAGTAGAGAAAGCTTACCTATTCGCCTTCACACTAAAAGAGGCCACATTAATCTGTAAGCAACAACGGCGTCTTGCTAGTTAGCTATTAAAATTTATTTTGAGTCAGGGTATCTTTTCTCTAAGAGAACGCATAATGGAAGATATGATATTAATGTAGCTAGTTTTTAATCGTCGACAAATGATCGCCACGTTTATATTTTCACGATTACAAAACATTAACTTCGACAAAGATCTAGAGCTGAAAAAAAACCATATTTTCAGTGTAATGTAGTTTATACATGAACAAATGCCAGCATTATATAAATTGACGTTAATATACTATCCCTGTGAATCACATTACATGAGCATTTTCTTATATATCGGTGCAGCTAAAATCAGAGCTAATGTTTGCTACAACGTGTCATAATTCAACTATTTATAATTTATGTTCCTACACCTATAACAGAAACAGGTCATTTGCTCAAATACCACGTGATCTCAGCAGACGTCGTAACAGTGCCAGCAGACGTCAACAACCCAGGCTGCCAGTTCCTGGTTTTGACGGTTGACCCAGATGTCAGGAGCATGACCACCCCAAGAGTCGAGGCGTCCAGCCGCATCAGGTTCTGGCTGTCGAACCTCGTCTTCAGTATGCGCATGCTCAGTGCTGACACTTCCTGTGTGCTGCTGTACTCGATGGTGTCCAGAGAGAGGAAGCGCTCGAGGTTGTTGTCGTTTGGTAACTTGACCTACACAAGACATTCCAAATATAACATGTGGACATTACTTATTATAGTTGTGTATAATTAAAAAAATAATTTACAGAGAAGAGGGTCCGTAAGATAGATACAATAGAAATCAAGTAGCCCAACGATGCCAAGGTGTCATGCATAAACTAAGTCACTTTTAAATTTAAAAAAAAATATTTTACTTCCCCCCTTCCACCTCACCACATGATTACAAAAATCTAGACCCACCCCCTTGAATGACGCCACAGCTCAGCCTATCACGGTCCTCAAAATGTCAACATTTGAATTTTTAAAACAGCGATTTCTTCTCCGAAATATTTAATGAACTCGTTCAACATGGACAATATTAATTAGTTTCAGACACAAGTTAAAGAAGAGGACTTTTTAAAAAAATTCATAAAAAACGTTTTAATAACAAGATTTTATGTAACAATGCACTAAAAAGTAGAACATAAATTATACACTACTATTTAAATAACTAGAAAGAAAAGCGTGGGTAACTTTAGTATCTTTGGATACCTTTACTAATGTTAAGGAAGACACCCACGCTTTTCTTTATAGTTATTTAAATAGTAGTGTATAATTTATTTTCTACTTTTTAGTGCATTGTTACATAAAAGCTTGTTATTAAAACGTTTTTTATGAATTTTTTTTTCAGTACTTTACACGTTTTATTTACAGCTAGGCATGCTGCCCAGCTTCGCTTAGGCTTTCGAAAACATTGAGAATTTGAATGCTTAATTAATTCGCCCGAGGGTCGGTCTACGACCTCAAGAGTTATGAAGAGGTTCCTCCGTGGACATTTTTTTTCGATTTATAGCTCATATAAGGTACCGGTCAGTCGAGGTCAGTTTTGACCCCTTCATCGTAGACTTTTCGGCCAACCGGCCCCCGTGCTCTGTCGCCCCAAGGCAAGATCCTGCCAAATTTGAAGCGCCTGCGGCGCCGGGAAGTGCCTTATCGGACACCCGACAATCTAGATCTAGATCTAGATCTAGAATCCTAATTGAATTTTTTTTTTAAGTTTAGTCCGAGCAAAATTTAAAAAAAAAATACATTAACCAAGTTGACTTGGTGGGTCTCGAACCCGCACCACCTGCGTGGTTAATAGTACACTAACATCTCCGCTATTTAGAGAATGAAAGACGTATTTTAAAATCTTAACTTACGCGAATATGCCTATTCTTTCAAATTAATTTTTTTATCCCAAATTAGCCAGTTCCAAACAAAGATTTTGTATAAATAAATGTTATGAGTTTAGGCCGGAAAAATTGTATTGTATACATTTCATAGTGTACGTAGATCTAAATCAAATTTGAATGAAATAGTTCATTTCTTTTTTATTCTAAACACGGCAGATGACGTCATTAGTAAGCAATAGTGTCGTCACAGTTTTATGCGTTCTTTTACACATCTATTAATGCTTTTCCGGTTGCATAAATAATACTGTTTCTCTATATTCGAATACGCCTTGATTTTTTATTTTTCTTCTTGAAATAAAATTGTGGTTATACATTTAAAACATCTAACATATTATTTTCAACAAAAGTCCGTATAAAGTTCTCCATATATCGCTGCCGTTTCTGACGTGATGTCCGGCGAAAATTTTTTGCGGACAGAGAAAGAGAGAGAGAGAGAGATGTGCGAACGTGGCCCATTATAGTATTAGATAGAATTACATGACTAAAAACCATTGCGCGCCTACTGAACATCACGTTCAGTAGGCGCGCAATGGTTTTTGAACGCAGCCATTACGTGATGGCGCAGCTATTGAAGGTGATGACGCGCGTGGTGTGGTTGGCTAGACATGCCTACTAATTCGGTCCAAATTTTAATTAATTCATAAAAAATTAATTAGGCATCCAATTAAGTCAAATTTAGTTTCAGATTGCATTGTCTTCATGTCTTGACCCACGTGCCAACTGTGAATCGTATCGGTCAAGTAGAACTGTCCGAATTTTCACTCCTGCGTTTCCGTCAAGACAGACAGACAGAGGAAGTGAGTTAAATAAAAGCTTGTAAAAAATTCATAAAAAACGTTTTAATAACAAGCTTTTATGTAATGATGCACTAAAAAGTAGAAAATAAACTATAGACTACTATTTAAATAACTATAAAGAAAAGCGTGGGTCACTTTAGTATCTATTGGATACCTTTACTAATGTTAAGGAAGACACCAACGCTTTTCTTTATAGGTTTTTAAATAGTAGTCTTTAATTTATTTTCTACTTTTTAGTGCATCATTACATAAAAGCTTGTTATTAAAACTTTTTTTATGAATTTTTTTTTCAGTACTTTACATTTTTTTTTACAATAGAGTTACATGACTAAAAACCATTGCGCGCCTACTGAACATCACGTTCAGTAGGCGCGCAATGGTTTTTGAACGCAGCCATTACGTGATGGCGCAGCTATTGAAGGTGATGACGCGTGTGGTGTGGTTGGCTAGACATGCCTACTAATTCGGTCCAAATTTTAATTAATTAATAAAAAATTAATTAGGCATCCAATTAAGTCAAATTTAGTTTCAGATTGCATTGTCTTTATGTCTTGACCCACGTGCCAACTGTGAATCGTATCGGTCAAGTAGAACTGTCCGAATTTTCACTCCTGCGTTTCCGTCAAGACAGACAGACAGAGGAAGTGAGTTAAATAAAAGCTTGTAAAAAATTCATAAAAAACGTTTTAATAACAAGCTTTTATGTAATGATGCACTAAAAAGTAGAAAATAAATTATAGACTACTATTTAAATAACTATAAAGAAAAGCGTGGGTCACTTTAGTATCTATTGGATACCTTTACTAATGTTAAGGAAGACACCCACGCTTTTCTTTATAGTTATTTAAATAGTAGTCTATAATTTATTTTCTACTTTTTAGTGCATCATTACATAAAAGCTTGTTATTAAAACGTTTTTTATGAATTTTTTTTTCAGTACTTTACATGTTTTATTTACAAAAGAGTTACATGACTAAAAACCATTGCGCGCCTACTGAACATCACGTTCAGTAGGCGCGCAATGGTTTTTGAACGCAGCCATTGAAGCTATTGAAGGTGATGACGCGTGTGGTGTGGTTGGCTAGACATGCCTACTAATTCGGTCCAAATTTTAATTAATTCATAAAAAATTAATTAGGCATCCAATTAAGTCAAATTTAGTTTCAGATTGCATTGTCTTCATGTCTTGACCCACGTGCCAACTGTGAATCGTATCGGTCAAGTAGAACTGTCCGAATTTTCACTCCTGCGTTTCCGTCTAGACAGACTGACGACAGACTGACGAGGAAGTGAGTTAAATAAAAGCTTGTAAAAAAAAATTCATAAAAAACGTTTTAATAACAAGCTTTTATGTAATGATGCACTAAAAAGTAGAAAATAAATTATAGACTACTATTTAAATAACTATAAAGAAAAGCGTGGGTCACTTTAGTATCTATTGGATACCTTTACTAATGTTAAGGAAGACACCCACGCTTTTCTTTATAGTTATTTAAATAGTAGTCTATAATTTATTTTCTACTTTTTAGTGCATCATTACATAAAAGCTTGTTATTAAAACGTTTTTTATGAATTTTTTTTTCAGTACTTTACATGTTTTATCTACAATAGAGTTACATGACTAAAAACCATTGCGCGCCTACTGAATATCACGTTCAGTAGGCGCGCAATGGTTTTTGAACGCAGCCATTACGTGGTCGTGATGGCGCAGCTATTGATGACGCGTGTGGTGTGGTTGGCTAGACATGCCTACTAATTCGGTCCAAATTTTAATTATTCATAAAAAATCAATTAGGCATCCAATTAAGTCAAATTTAGTTTCAGATTGCATTGTCTTCATGTCTTGACCCACGTGCCAACTGTGAATCGTGTCGGTCAAGTAGAACTGTCCGAATTTTCACTCCTGCGTTTCCGTCTAGACAGACTGACGACAGACTGACGACAGACTGACGAGGAAGTGAGTTAAATAAAAGCTTGTAAAAACGCGAAACAACTGTTAAAATTTATTTAAGTTCTAACATTAGTATTAAAACCCAATAATGTGTCGTCGTATTTTCTGTACTTACACCCTCGTAGTCTCACGCCGCAGTCCCTCTCTTCTCCCCCCCCCCCCCCCCCCACTGTGATCGAGACCTCACTTAATCACGACCCACTAGCCACAATTTTCAGTCCTGTAATTTTAATTGTTAGGGAGATCGGCGTGGTCGAATCGGTACAGCTCGTGGTTGCTGAACCGACAATTCTCGAGTTCGAACCCTCGGGCAGATGAGGCAACTTTTCTCCAAAATCAAACAACTGCTGCCTTGAAGTTTTTCTTCAGCAGTGAACATACTAACATCCTATACAAGAGTATGTTCTTTAACCAAGCACCACTCAGACCACAGAGTACCTAAAGCTCTGCTCGTGCATGCACACACATCGCTCACCTTTGCCCTCAGCATCCCAGCGGTTCTCAACTGATCATTGGACCCGCTGACGACAGCCCCACTGGCGTCAGTCTGTAGAACCACTTCCGGTTGTCGTGACTCCACAAACCACCTGACAGTGACAGAACTGCAACTGGAACTGAAGCAGGAGATTAATATCAAGTTAAAAATGACGTTTCATATATTCATAAAAGTTCTGCTGTGCAAATATAAACACAATAATGTGTATTAGAACATTGGCGCTAAAGCTAAAGTTCAGGTTTAGTATTAGAGTTTAAGTTTATGCTAAGTTTATGATGTACTTCAATATTTAGGTTGTTATCATGTTTGTATGTAAATTAAGAACTAAACCAGGAATTTTAAGGTTTACAATATCGGCGATTCATTGCTTGAGATATAGCTTAATAGTTTCGGCTATACTTCAAGCACCGTTGTAAATATCATATTAACATTAGTTTCAATTACAATAATTAGTTTTTAATTACCAATGACGTTTTTTTTTCTAGATTAATTTTAATTTTGTTTGACAAAAATTTGAAAGTTATTATTTAGAATTTGACTTATTTTGACTACCATCGTACGACTGAACAAAGGGAAGCAACTGTTGTATTTAAAAAAAAACATCATAGTTTATAGGAAGTTGTCGATCTTGTTATGTTTCCCCGTTTACACCACAGATTAGCTCTATAATGTCTATTTGAACAAATACCTCTTTTCCTTCCGCTCTGTAACCAAGACAAGGTGTTTACATTGGTAACCGTTGCTATGGATGAAATACCATGCCCAGGTGCTCTGTTTGTTGATTTTATCATCGTTGATGTCAACACTAGAGTTGGAGGGGGGGGGGGGGGGGGGGGGGGAAGAAAATCATCATTGATTTCCACGTTAGAAAAATATGACATATTGTGTATGTGTGTTTGTGAGTGTGTGTGTATGAGAGAGAGAGAGAGAGAGAGAGAGAGAGAGAGAGAGAAAGAAAGAGAGAGAGAGTTTGTAAAAGCAGATGGTAGTAGTTTGTATTAGTACAAACACAACAAAAAGTAGGTCTATATGTAGGCCTATATGTAGGCCTATATATAAGTCTATATGTGGCCTATTTATACTTTCGCTTTCCCCATACGTCACCTAGCTCGTGTCTCTTTAGTTATATTATTGATCTGTTACAATGTATCTGACAATTTGTCACTATTTACAGTGTATGTGAGACAATTTGTCACTTGTCACATGTATCTGACAATTCATGTCCCTGTGTTCTCACAAGTGCTAATTAAAAAAATCCAGTTCAGCCTTGACCCAGATTCATCCCCTGGTGTCTGTCTGGTGTTGTGACACTGATGTCAACTTCCGTGTGTGACAATGGTGAGGTCAAGCTTCCAGTGTGTGGGTCAAGGTTGTACATGACAGCTCTTAACGTGGCTTACATTAAATGTAATTAGGGCTTTAGTGCGCGTGGGATTGTCGGTAAAATTAATCAGGTAAGTTTTGTTTGACCGGGGTGTGGGATATTGTACAGTGTGGTGTCACCATCAGAAGTGTGGGACAATGTCTAGAATGGTGTCACCATCAGAAGTGTGGGGCGGTGTGAAAGAGTAGTGTCACCATCAGAAGTGTGGGACATTGTCTAGAATGGTGTCACCATCAGAAGTGTGGGACAATGTCTAGAATGGTGTCACCATCAGAAGTGTGGGACATTGTCTAGAATGGTGTCACCATCAGAAGTGTGGGGCGGTGTGAAAGAGTAGTGTCACCATCAGAAGTGTGGGACATTGTCTAGAATGGTGTCACCATCAGAAGTGTGGGGCGGTGTGAAAGAGTGGTGTCACCATCATAAGTGTGGGACACTGTACATAACGGTGTCACCATCATAAGTGTGGGATATTGTGCAGAATGGTGTCACCATCATAAGTGTGGGACATTGTGTAGAATTGTGTCACCATCAAAAGTGTGGAACATTGTGCAAAATGGTGTCACCATCAGAAGTGTGGGATATTGTGCAGAATGGTGTCACCATCAGAAGTGTGGGGCGTTATGCAGAGTTGTGTCACCATCAGAAGTGTGGGACGGTGTGGAGAATGGTGTCACCATCAGAAGTGTGGGACATTGTCTAGAATGGTGTCACCATCAGCAGTGTGGGACATTGTGCAAAATGGTGTCACCATCAGAAGTGTGTGATATTGTGCAGAATAGTGTCACCATCAGAAGTGTGGGGCGTTATGCAGAGTTGTGTCACCATCAGAAGTGTGGGACGGTGTGGAGAATGGTGTCACCATCAGAAGTGTGGGACATTGTCTAGAATGGTGTCACCATCAGCAGTGTGGGACATTGTGCAAAATGGTGTCACCATCAGAAGTGTGGGACATTGTCTAGAATGGTGTCACCATCAGAAGTGTGGGATATTGTGCAGAATGGCGTCACCATCAGAAGTGTGGGGCGTTATGCAGAGTTGTGTCACCATCAGAAGTGTGGGACGGTGTGGAGAATGGTGTCACCATCAGAAGTGTGGGACATTGTGCAGAATGGCGTCACCATCAGAAGTGTGGGGCGTTATGCAGAGTTGTGTCACCATCAGAAGTGTGGGATATTGTGGAGAATGGTGTCACCATCGGAGTGCTAACCTCGCCAACAACGCCACTTCAACAACAAACTGAAGTTTTGACCATTCTCCTAATCTAGGGGATTGCGCTAATTTAGATTAATTTATTAGTATGGCCAATTTTGACAACAACCTTCATTTAACCACCCCGTAAAATTAATAAAAAAAACATACTTTAATGGCCTTTCCTCCGTGATTAAATATCTAATACACATTGTGGTAGTAAACAAATTGGTTATTTTGAAAAAAAATATAAAAATAAGAATGTGTTTTTACAACCTCATAAGATACAATTGGAAGTCTAACGAGAATGCATATTTTTGCCAACAGTTCAATTAAAAATAATGTATAATCGGAGGCATAACGTAGCCCAATACCGCATCCTACCATGTATAACCCAAGAAATTATAACTGCAGCTACAATGTTCGGTTCTTGCCATATGTGCCTGGGAATAAGAATTAATTTACGTATAAAATGTGATTATTGTTGAAAAAAAATTTAAGTAGAGAAATTTAATATTCAATCAAGTACTATGTTGCTTACCTTATGACCTGGGCAATTACGATACCAGTAGACGTAATAACTACATGATCAGCCTCGGCATACAGCACTTCATTATCCTCCATAATCGATACTCGTACTCGTTTGCCGGACCTAACAGCTGTTCTCAGTTCGTCCACCGAATTTTTCGTGTTAGAGCTAAAATATTTTATCAAAGATAAGCGTAGACAGTAAAGATATTACTGTGAAATAATTAATGAATCATTGAATAAGAGCAAAAGAAATATAAATAAATATACATATATATCTAATCGTGTGGGATGGTTTTATAAAGATTAGACACTAAGTTCTTCTTTTCGAATTATGCTTTGCAGTTAACAAACAGAAATTACTTTTTTATTTACACAAAAAACATTAATTAAAAAAATATCAATCTAAGGGAAATAACAGAGAAAACAATTATGCTTCCTTTAAAAAATGAGTTATCTTTCATTAAATTCCTTCTATAATTGAAATAGGCTACTTGTTACAGCTGTTGTTAGGAAGTAATAATAATTATTGAAACCGCAACGCATTTGAATTATTTTTTACTATAGCTTGTAGCAACACTCCAAACTGTAAAAATGTAGCTTCTAAAAGGTTGTAACAAATGAACACGGGTTGTCTATTACAGCTTTACCTGCTAGTGCTAGCTGTACTTGTTGCTGTTGTGTAGACAAGTTGCCAGCACGGATCCTGTATCCAACTAGAAATATACATACAAATATAGGTACATATATATATATATGTACACACACACACACATATATATATATATATATATATATATATATATATATATATATATATATATATATATATATAGACACTAACACATCTACATACGTGAGTGTTATGTTTCGAATATACACAGTCTAGATTACATTTGAGGGGAAATGTTTGCCAAATGCTCAACGTAACTTAAATAAATAAAGGTGTATTTTGCTTAATTTGAAAACATTGATGAATAGGTAATGAATATTTTAGTTCAACTTTAAAAGTAAATCAATGTGAGTTGTCAGTTGTGAAAAGTGCTTAATGGTAAAATGATTTAACATACGGGTGTTAGTACTTAAGTATATTTAAACCTGATTAATAGAATGCCAGCTAAAATTAATAAGAAATTTATTAAGAAGACGGAATTAGACGACAAGAAGAAGTAACAAGAACAAAAGAAACATATAAGTGTCAAAATCTATGATAAAATATGTCATTTGGTGATAATACCAGCTCATGACATGACATGTATGGCTTACAGATTATATTAGATGAAAGATTAATGTTGGATGACAGATTAATGTTGGATGACAGATTAATGTTGGATGACTGATTAATGTTGGATGACAGATTAATGTTGGATGACAGATTAATGTTGGATGATAGATTAATGTTGGATGACAGATTAATGTTGGATGACAGATTAATGTTGGTTGACAGATTAATGTTGGATGACAGATTAATGTTTGATGACAGATTTTGTTGGATGACAGATTAATGTTTGATGACAGATTATGTTGGATGATAGATTTTTGTGGATGACGGACTTTTGTGGACAACATTGGATGATAGATTATATTACATGACTACAGATTATGGTTAATACCATTGTGCTGGATGACAGCTTATAGTACATGACAGATAATGGATAATAAAATTCTGGTAGATGACAGCTTATAGTAGATGACATATAATGGTTAATAAAATTCTGGTAGATGACAGCTTATGGTATCTCACCTGTGTTTGTTGTTATCGCCCGAGTCATCAGAGCTGTCGCCAGAGGTTAAAGGCCACCACACCTGGTAGTCGTCGCCGTCTGATGCAAACAGGTTGAGGTTTAACCGTGGTTTAACTTTGTTGGTAGCCTGTCATAGAGCGTTAAACAAAAAGGTAGTTGTTGCAAACATGTTGAGGTTTAACCGTGGTTTAACTTTGTTGGTAGCCTGTCATAGAGCGTTAAACAAAAAGGTAGTTGTTGCAAACATGTTGAGGTTTAACCGTGGTTTAACTTTGTTGGTAGCCTGTCATAGAGCGTTAAACAAAATGGTAGATGTTGCAAACATGTTGAGGTTTAACCGTGGTTTAACTTTGTTGGTAGCCTGTCATAGAGCGTTAAACAAAAAGGTAGTTGTTGCAAACATGTTGAGGTTTAACCGTGGTTTAACTTTGTTGGTAGCCTGTCATAGAGCGTTAAACAAAATGGTAGATGTTGCAAACATGTTGAGGTTTAACCGTGGTTTAACTTTGTTGGTAGCCTGTCATAGAGCGTTAAACAAAAAGGTAGTTGTTGCAAACATGTTGAGGTTTAACTGTGGTTTAACTTTGTTGGTAGCCTGTCATAGAGCGTTAAACAAAATGGTAGATGTAGCAAACATGTTAAGGTTTAACCGTGGTTTAACTTTATTCAAGGCCTGTGATAAAGCGTTAAACAAATTGGTAGCTATAGCAAACATGCTGAGGTTTAACCGTGGTTTAACTTTATTGGTAGCCTATCAT